TTACTCCTCATTGTTTATCCCTTGACAATGAAAAATATTTAATCGTCATTGTTTACAATGACGATTGAATATTTAATCGTCATTGTTTAAAATGACGATTAAATATTTTTCATTATCAAGGGATAAACAATGAGGAGTAAATATTTTTGATAGCCAAGGGCTACACAAAGACGATTAAATATTTCAATTGTCAAGGTATAAACAAAGATGAGTAAATATTTTTGATAGTCAAGGGTAAACAAAGACAAGTAAATATTTTTTATAGTCATAGGCTAAAAAAGACGATTAAATATTTTAATTATCAAGAGATAAAAAAGATGAGTAAATATTTTTGATTGTCTAAGTATAAAGAAAGATGAGTAGATATTTTTGATTGAAAAGAGATAAACGAAGACAAGTAAATATATCTGATGGTCAATATTTAACCGGAGACGAGAAAGTATTTTTGAATTTGAAGGGATAAACAATGACGAGTAGATATTTTTGAGTGTCAAGGGCTTAATGAAGATGTGCAAATATTTTTGATTGTCAAAGGCTAAGCAAAGACGAGTGGATTTTTTTGATTGTCAAGAGATAAACAAAATGATAAACAAAACGAGTAAAGATTTTTGATTTTTAAGATCTAAACAAAGACTAGTAAAGATTTTTGATTTTCAAGAGATAAACAAAACGAGTAAAGATTTTTGATTTTCAAGGGGTAATCAAATCTAATAAATATTTTTGATTGTCAAGTTTAAACAAAGGCAAGTAAATACTTTTTAATGGCCATAAGCTAAAAAAGACGAGTAAATATTTTTTATTGTCAAGAGATAAAGAAAAACGAGTGAATATTTTTGATCGTAAGGGATACCCAATGACAAGTAAATATTTTTGATTGCCAACGGCTAAAAACAGAGGAAGAAATATTTTTGATTTTCAAGAGATAAACAATGACGAGTAAATATTTTCGATTGTTAAGGCATCAACAATGAATAAATATTTTTTATTGTCAAGGGATAAACAAAGAAAAGACTAGTAAATATTGATATCTAACGGCTGATATCAGCGCTATTTTAATGTGTACTTATATCATTATTGCTACCATTATAAGGACATTTTATCAGTAGCGTGTTTTTTTCCTTAGCTTTTTTTTCCGCACTGTTTCATTTTTATCTGACGCGTATCATCGATCGACTTTGTTCAAATAATTTACGGACATTTTTTATTAATGCAAAGTTTCCCATCTCCATTATACACCTTCTTGCATTTTATTCATTCTTTTTTTTTTTTTTTTTTTTTAATTCAGACACTTTTTAAGACCTGTCATTCTAATTCATTTACTTGATTTCTCTTTTTCTTCTTCTTCTTCTTCTTCTTCTTCTTCTTCTTCTTCTTCTTCTTCTTCTTATTATTATTATTATTATTATTATTATTATTATCATTATTATTATAATTATTATTATTATTTGCTTTCAGCCTCTTTCCAAGACCCCTTCTATTCTCTTTTCCTTTTACTCATTTATATTTACCTTATATCTTCTTCTTCTTCTTTTACTTTTTCACTTTAGAGTATTTTTATTTCTCTTTCTTTTCTTCATCTTAACCCTTTTCAACGTTATTTTTGCAGATTTCTTCTTCTTCTTCTTCCTCTTCTTCTTCTTCTTCCTCTTCTTCCTCTTCTTCTTCTTCTTCTTCTTCTTCTTATTATTATTATTATTATTATAAGAGACTAAAATAATTGAAGTAATTCTTTCAATATTTTTTCAAAACTCAAGAGAAGAGTGAGATTTAAGAAAAGAAAAATTAAACAAAACAATGTTTGACAATATTAAACAATATTTCGACAACATGTCTGTCTTCTTCAAGTTATATTTAAAAATATTTTATTGCTATCATTATTAATCTGATTTATTATTGTTTTTTATTTGTATTATTAACTTAGTCTATTATTCTTAGCTATTTTCTTCATACTCATTATTATTTCATTATTGTATTATTATTACTACTACTACTACTCTTATTATTTCATTATTGTATTATTATTACTACTACTACTACTACTACTCTTATTATTTCATTATTGTATTATTACTACTACTACTACTACTCTTATTATTTCATTATTGTATTATATACTACTACTACTACTACTCATTATTGTATTATTATTACTACTAATACTACTATTTTATTATTTCATTATTTATTATTACTACTAATACTACTACTATTATTATTATTTCATTATTGTATTATTATTATTACTACTACTACTACTACTTTTTTATTTCATTTCTTACTATTATTATTATTACTACTACTACTATTATTATTTCATTATTGTATTATTACTACTAATACTACTATTACATTATTATTTCATTATTATTATTATTATTATTACTACTACTACTACTATTATTATTTCATTATTATATTATTATTACTACTACTTACTACTATTATTATTTCATTATTATTATTATTATTACTACTACTACTACTACTATTTATTTAAAATTATTTTATTATTATTATTAATTACTACTACTACTATTTCATTATTATTTCATTATTATTATTATTACTATTATTACTACTTTATTATTATTATTATTAT